GAGCGGTACTAAAAAAGCATTTAATATTTTTGCAGTGCAGTTTAGCAGCTGCAGCTATGTTAGTGGAACCAGCATAATGACCGACAAACCTCCAGCAAAGAGAGGGAATTTCTTCTTACAGATGTCCCATCCCCTAGCCATGGCATTGTAAGCTATTGCTGTGCTGTCCTTGACCTTCTAAACACATCATGGTAACAGCAAGGCCAAAAAATCCCTTACAAATGGAAAACCTGCCCTTGAAACCACCTGTTTACAAGTGTGACTTAGTATGAGGTATCACACCCCCAAATGCCTCTGGTTCTTCATCTGGTGCTGCCTTTAGCCTGGCACAGGTTTCTTCAGGTGCGACACAGGGAGGGGAGAGAAGAGCTTGGGTTGCTCCTGTTTTCTGCTTCATGGAGTTCTGGAAGTGCTCGGGAGAGGAGGACGAGCTCAGTTGTTTCTGAGGTTACTGGACATTTAGCAGAAGTTGGCTCTGTTCTCCTGCAGACCTTCAGAAGGAGCTCTGAGCTTCTGAGGTTGCTGCTGCTTTAAAAATAGTATTTTTGTTTTCCTTCAGTGTATTTAAATCTTCCCTTTCTCTGCATTAGTGAGTGGGGATGAAGGGAAAACTGATTCAGAGCTTTTTCCCACAACTGTTTGTGTCCTGAGCAGCCATTTCTGTTAGCAGCAAAAGTCTCCATTTCTCCAGTCTTGAGCTTATGCACTGCTCTCTGGATGTCTGAGGTGTTGCAGGGGTGCCTGTGGGAAAGGGAAAGCCTATGTGAAGAGTAGGCAGATGAGATCTTGGTGCTTCTTTTTTGTTACTTGTAGGAACTAATATGCAAAAGCTCTGATTTTCACCTTTATTGGAGCCAGTCCAACAAACATCTCTGTTCTGTTGGCACCAAAAAGTGTGGCAGGTCCTCATTGGTGGCATTTGTACCAAAATGGGGAGGGAATGCTGCCAGAAGACTCTTGTGTGAAGAGTGGCTATGGCCCAGTGAGAGGATAGAAAAAAATTATGCTGAGAGAAGTTAATTTTAAACAAATTAAAGGAAGAATAAATTCACATTTTTTGGTAGAGCATCTTCCAGGAAAAGAAATCAAATAAAATAACATAAAAGTATTAAACCGCAAATTCAACATGAGTTTTAATGAAGGACTAAGCAAATATTGTAGACTTTTAAATAGTAATAATAAAAAAGCTACAAGTATCATAACAATATGCATGTTGTAAACTCATGTAATCGCATGCAGTTATTGTTCCTAAACTGCATCTTGGTTTTTGCAGGAGTAATGTATTCTCTGTCTGCCTGGGAAGATTTGGTAGACAATGCCTGCAATGATGGTACAAAAGTTGAAAGAAGTAACATGGGGGAAAGGGAGTTCTGGAAGACTCTTTTCAGCTCTTTCTTTTGTTATTATTTATTTAAATGCAAATCTTTCAGCCAAAAAAATAAAAAAAAATAAAAAGACATGTCCAAAATCTGATAAATATTCAGTAGCCTTGGTGGATTCATGAATGTGAGGCTGAAATGGTGAGTCATACAGAAACTTGTCCAGGGAAACACAAGGCACTTTGATATTTTAAAGTTAAAGGAAAATCAGAGTATAGCAAACTCTTAAAATAAGCCAAGACCTATACTATATTTTAGTGTCTTCTAACAGTGTACTTCAGAAGTTGTCTTTTAAAAATAAACTATGTAGGAAAATATTAATTTTGGCCATCTTCAGGCAGACCTAAGCAGTACTGAATTCAGACAGCTATAATCAATGCAGCCTTCTGCTTTCGGGTCTGTGAATGGCAAGTGAGTGTAAAGGCGTGGTTTGTTATCATTAGAAAAGCAGGTTGTGACCAGGTCATCATGCACAATTGTAGTCATGAGCATGGTATCTAGAAATGTTCTGCTGTGAATGTGTTATTTGGAGTTCTGGTTTGCATCAGTGGAAGTAGCCCTTCCCAGGCTGAGAACCTCTCCCAGGACTGGACACTGATGCAAACAGGTGCAAAAGCTCATTTTCCCTTTCTGTCCCTTGGTAAATCAGTGCTTGTATAGTGTGGTTTTCACTCCCTGGGCAAAGCACAGCAAAAATGTGGCTGATCCACATGAGTCGTGTGAGAATGGTACTAAACCTTCCTGCAGCACTGGGGGGCCCGGGACGCCCCCACACCTCTTTCCTCTGTCAGTCCTGAAGAGGGTACGAGCGTCAGCTTCTCCACCTGAACAACATTATGGCATGCTATATATATGTTAATTCTTTAATTTATTAAGGTTAAAACTTACTTGACCTATTTAAAAAAATGTTGCTGTTTCCAGGGTATCAATAGTAAAAATAATACCTGAAGGAGACCTGCAGAAAAAGCTTGGATGCATGTCACGAATGTCATGTTATTTCATGGCTTTATGTTTAAGCATCTTAATTACTGCGTCTACTTACACTTAGAAGATTACCAACTAGAACATGTTCAAAACTTCGTTTAAATGAAATCTACATAGCATAAAAAAAAAAATCATAGTAAACATCTTTGGTATGTAGGTAGAGATGACAAAAATGTGTGGTTTGGTATTTATTGTGTACTGCCATTGTTATTCTTGTCTTTTTTTAATGTTTCTACCATACCTCATTACAAAGGCTTTGCCTTTACAGTATGACAGGAGTAAGCTTATGTTTAGCATTAGTAGTAGTAGTTCATTTTCTTGTAAGCTCTGCTTATTTTATTGTTGAATATTGTTGAATATAAATTTTTCACAGTATTATTTATAAAATAAATATCAACAAATGTCTAGGATTTTTTCTGCTTTTTACTCAGACCAGTTTAAATTAAACTGTTCAAATCTGAGATAAAATACAGCTTAGTAGAGTCTGTATATAACCTTAACAGTTATTTAGCACTGACGAGGACTGGCCAGAAAATTAATATTTAGGGAGGGTGTCATACATTTTGGATGAAAAACATCTCAGCTTTTATTCACTGCTGCTTGAGGAAACACAATTCTCTATCTGGTGCAGTTGAGGGCATGGAAGGTGGATCTTCTACATTTAAGACTACTGGGTATTTAGGATTATATATTATTTATGGTATATCTCACTTTATGGTCTCGACTTCCACATCCCTCTTTGAAAGCACATTTGGAATACTGTTTGTTTGTTCTTCTTGCTTTCAGTTGGGGAAAAACTGCTACAAGGACTCAAGCTGGTGTCCTCAAGCTCAAGGTGTCCAGAGAAGGACTTGTGCAGGGGTACTCCCTCCTTTCTACACCTTAGGTCTGGACCAGTTGGACACCGTTCTCATCCCAGGCTGTGTGCAGAGTAACAGGATGCTTTCCCATGACTTGCCAATCCAGCCTGGGAGCCAAGCAAGGTGGGTGTTTGCAGACAAGCTGCCTGGAAGGCAAAGAGAATCAGTTTTTCAAAATACTGACATTCACAAGAAAGGGCTTCCCTCTTTCCACTCCACCCCAACTAGATATAAAATTAAAATCTATAGTCGTTCAGGAAACTGGCACATTACATAACAAGTAGGTGGGAATGAATTGTTCCTTTCAAGTCAGTTTTTAAAAGAGGAAAATATTTAGAAAGTGTATCTTGCAGTCTAGGTAAGAGTAATTTTGTTTTATGCAGCTGCCTGTGAAGAGCCTGGTGTCAAAATGCAGTGGTACTTGTAAGTAGTAATCAATATACATGAATTATTTAGAAGACAGAGGATAAAAATGGGCGAGTATTAAAATAGAATCAATCCACTGTATAAGCACTAAGGAATGTGTAAGAATTCCTAGTAAATTGATAGTGACATCCATTTGGAATCTCAGTTTATGTGCATAAAAACAAAGTGTAAGTGAATATTCCATTATCTAAATGTAAATAAATTATATATAAATTTGAATTAAACTGTAGGAACTAACTGTTAAGGATCAAGTATTTTTAAGTTAGAACATCTATAGTATATAAGGCAGACATGTCTGGCCAGATGGTGTGAGAATTAGAAGTGGCTGCATTTCAAATAAATAATAGCACCTAGAAATCATGTGAGGTCAGTCAGGGAGCAGAGGGATTCAGCTGACCACCAGGTTTTAAAACAAGCTGGAAGGAAGAGATGAGACACTTCAAGAGTGACTGCCTTCCCTGCATAAGTGGTAGAGAGAAGGTTTTAATACCATTCCAAGGTGAAGAAAAAAAAATTTATAGAGTAATGACAACACACAGGAGACAGACTGATTCAGGCAATTTACTCTGTTAGACATCAAATGCTTTTTTGAGGCTATAAGTGATCATTCAAAAACTTCTCTCTGATCAAGCACCCATGGCCAAACAAAACCAAGCAGAGAGAAGTCTCTGTGTTGGAGGGGCAATGAGAAAGTCTCATTTAACACAGGCACTGTTTGCGTATTCTGTCTGCAGAAGTCAGGTCCCAACAGAGCTCTTGGATCCTGGAGAAGCCTGATGAGAGATGTCACTCCGAACCCACTGACACAGGAGTCACCCCACAGAGGAAGAGGAGTAATAGTCCTCACGTGTAAATGAAGTGAGACAAGGCCTGAAAAACGCTTCACAGAAAGAGAGAAATTGAGGCCAGGAACTAAGAGTGGCTGAAAGAGCACTTTGGAGAGCAAGCGCCTGTGGGATGGTAAGAAAACGCCAAACAGGTAACGGAGACAAGAAAGACAGTAGAGATAATCTCTCTGAAAATACTAAAATGAGCTTCTTAACCTACAGTAGTATCTCTGTAGTACATGTCTGAATAGATATGAGGACAGGAAACCGTTATTTATAAGCTAAAGCAAAAAGTAATATTGGAGGGGTAAATTTTTTTTTTAAGCAATAAATGACATGCATAAAACAGGGAGTGAGATCATGACCCTGTTTAAGTCAGTGACAAAATCTCTTTGACTTCAGGTCATAATCAAGGCTTTTTACTCAGTTCCTGGTCGCTCCTCGCCATGTCACATTAGTACTACCTCAGTGTTAGAAGTCAGTACTGGGCCTTCAGTTGTCTGCAGGGTTGCATACACATGTATGCAAGTGCTGTATGTTTTGTACACTGAAGTGTACGTGGCTGACTCCCATTTTGCTGCTAGAAAAACTGAGGCACAGCAAGCCGGAGATAGGACTAAGGCTCCTGACTTGCAGCACAGCACTATGTGGCTGGGAGCGTGGTGCTTCCTTGTGCTCTGGGTGTTCCTGAGAGCCCAAACTGCCCTCAGGACTTCCTGGGAAAATGGGCCATCACCTGTTCTAGAAAGTTTGTACCAGTCAGAGCATGAGACCAGTACTGCTTTACAATTTGTAATGAGCAGAGAGGCTGATGAGAATGGCAGTCACGCGTCTGGGGACGTGTGAGTCCTGATAGTGCGGCGATGGCCGCACATTCAGATGCAGTGCAGGTATAAAAATACTAATCCGTATGATGCTCCTCCTGTGTAAGTACGACAAGCGTTGTTGCAGGCATACAAAAAGGCAGTAAAATAAAATAGTTTTCAGACAAAGCCAGAATTCAGGCACACCTAAACCTCAGTCTGTGTCCAATGCTACTAACTGCTCAAAGTCTCTGCTGTTGTCACATAAAAAAGGTAATTACATATTTGAAAATGCTCCCCCGCTGGTTGCTTGGAGAGCTATTAAAGAACCCACATGCAAGGGATGAACAGAACGAGACTGTAAGTTTCTCATTGTTAAACAGAAGTGCAGGACTGGCAAACTCGCCCATCACGTGCAGGGCTGGTGCTCTGAATTGCAGAAGGAGGACTTGTAGCAGCGTTTACAAGTGGAATTGACAAATCTGAGGATTATCAGTCCACAGACTGTAAGAAAATTAATCTGAATGTTGCAGCCCTTCAGTGTTTGGAGCTTCCATTGTTTTCAGGGTATGCAACATTAGCCCCCAGTTTGCAAAGGAAAAGCCTTACCTGCCAGGCTTTTGAGGAATGTTCCTCTTTGAAGAAATAATTGGAACCACCAGTTCATTCTAGAGCATTATTAGAGACCTTCATCCCTGTGCTGCAGTTGTTGGATTTCTTGTGCATGGAGTAAATTAGTGCCATGTTTCAGCTGGATTTCATGATTGTATTATCCAGTCAGTAGTAAAATCCATTCATGTCAACTCTTTGAAATACCAACCTGTTGTGGATGCTATGTCATGTTTCATGGGAGCTGGTTACATTATGAGAAAAATAAAGTGTTTGCATAGTAGGCTATTTAGTTCTTCTTTGAAACTGAACTTTTGGACAAGCAGGAGGAGGTAAAAAGGGAAAAAAATGGTGAAAAATCTCTGGATGGGTGGAAATTTCAGCAAATTGCTGATTACTTAACCATATTATTTGCCTCAAAGGCAAAAACATCCTGTGCCTTTGTTCTGCTGTTACCCTACTGGAGTCGATCAGTTTAACAATGTTAAAACAAAGCAAAGAATTAAACCTGCTTGAATTAAAGAATTAAACTCTAGCCACTGGGCACTGATTGTTGCAGTGGCAGAGAGCACATTTCTGCTTCCCCTGCCTGCCTGGGTTCTAACCCACCACCACCTTGCACTTGTATGTGTGTTTTGCTGAATAGACAAAGCATGTGCTTATTCTCCTCTTCTAGCTCCACTAAAGTTTAAATTCATAAATTAAAGTTCCTTCTCCTGTTATTTCCTTAGCTTCCTCTCCTGTGACACTTTTAAAATATGTCCTGCCCTATAATCAAGAGTAGAAGCAGCACATTGATGTTGCTTTCAGATGTATGTTATTATCTAAAAGGCAAGCCCACGTAAAATGTTTTGCAAATTAACTTGGTTAAAATTTCAAAAGTAGGTATGGATGGAGAGCGGGAATTTCTAGCATATCCAACAGTAGAAGAAAAGTAGAAAGCGCTTATCTTAACATATCTTATAAAATTTGTAGGTCACCAGATTTAGGTGAGCGCCCTTACTAAAGCACCAAAAATGTTTCTAGATTCATTGCAGCAAAAGCAAAGTTGTTTGACAGCGGTGTTCATCTATTAGGACAGCAAAATTATCACTGATTCTTACATGAGTAACAGAAAGGTTAAGTTAAAGATTTTCAAAAGGAGGACTTTTTTAGCCACAAGGGACAAAAAGGAGGGGGGGGGAGGGGGTAGACTGAAGAAAGTTGTATACAAAGAAACCATTTAATGCAGATTTGCCATAAGGCAAGATAATAATGCTTGAATGTTATGAACTGCAGAAACTCCCATGAACACATTATATTTTAAACACTTAATCTGTTTTACAAACTATGTACATTCTTCTGCTAAATAAGATGAATTGGGATTCAAGCAGCAGCACATCCTGACAAATCTCCTCCTAAAGGCATCCATTAATATAAATCAACAGTAGCAATTTTGTTTGATCATTTATTTGCAAGAATCATTAAGGTTTATTAGCATAATTATTCCCTGTGGGACTTCTTGTCACATAAATGAAAAATGGCATTATCAATATTTAAAAGATAAGTGCGTAATGTTCAGAGTACTTAAACAGTACTCTGCAGGTGGTGTCCAGCTGTAGCAAATTAGATTAGGTTTGATTTCTAAATTGTAGAAATACAATTTCAGTGCAATTGTTTATTTCAAAACTACGTTTGCTTATCGTGCAAGGCATAAACACACAACCAAATACTATAGTTACTTGTTACAGTACCTGTGTGTACATTGTTTCAAGTAAGCACCTTCTCTGAAGATAGCAAATGGGAAGCGCATGTTGCTTACTGGTGGAAGTCCTTTTATAGTCTTGTCTTTTACACTTTTTACAGTTCTATATAATGACCTGAAATTTTCTCAGTGAAACAAGATGACTTTCTCCCTTGTCCTCCAATCTCCTTCCAAGAAAAATAGTAGTTACGGTGTCATTAGATCTCTTCCTCTACAGAGACATGGAGAAGGGGCTCTGCTATCCTGCAGTAGCTCTGAGGCCAAAATCAGCTGGCGCCTCTGTACCAACTCTGTGATCACCAAGAATGAGCTTGGCTTACATGAGCACTTTTTGAAGCAGACACAGGGACTGGTGCTTAGCAAAGCCATTTGGGTAAGATTGCACCGGTCCTGCCACTGAGCGGCAGCTGCCTGCAGCGTGGCCTGGGCCCCACGCTTACAGGCTGCAGGGCAGGCACTTTTGGGTTTCTGAAGGATGCCAAGGAGGTCAGAGTTAAGAAGAAAGTATATGGGGATACAATTACACCAATTTGAGGGAGGTCAGATGAGTGAAATGCCTGCTTGTCATCTGCTTAGGGGAAATGCTGTGCATCTTTGGTTCCCCTTGCTGCTGCTAGAGCGAGTGCTGAGTGGCAGGCGTGAGCGAGAGCACAGGCTGCTTTGGGGAAAAGTTGCCAAAGGTTCCTGCACAGATGAATTACCATCTGGGCGCTGCTGAGAGCGAAAGCCTCTGGTTGAGTCCAGCTGTGGAGTGGCAGAGTAAACACAGCTTTTGGGGCTGGGTGAGCCCCACTTTTGGGCAGCAGATCCACAGTGTGCAGAGCAGCATGGTGCAAAGCAGGGAGTGTGGGCGCTGAGCTGCAGCCACCCAAGGTGGTCTCTTGAGCCCTCCCTCCCCACAGCCACTGCCAGTGCTGTGATTCCCCCAGCTATGCAGCATCCCATGTCAGTGTGCCCTTTCAACAGACCTGGCATGCAGGGTCCCTGCGAACAAATCCTGGTGAGAGACTGGGAACACCTCGCAGACAGAAATCTGTGGGCTTTGCCTGGTCCATAGCAATACAGAGGCAATTCACCACTTTGCTGGTGAATTTTTTTTTGGAGCTGTTTTATTAGCAGTGAAATGTATCATTAACTACTGTGTGCACTTCTCTCTAAAGGCTCCTGAATAAAACATCAGGGACTTTACTAAAAATGCCCCAGGACTCCACCAGACACATCCCCACGTGGGGCAGGGAAGCAGAGCCTTTGCCAGCCCGGGGCTCAGCTGAGGCTGATAGGCAGGATGAAGTGCCAGGGTAAGGGATGGATGCAGGCAGCAAAATTACTTTCACATTGCCCTCAGCCCTTTCTGGGGTTGATGTTTGTTTTCTGTTATTGCCCTTCAGTTGCCCTTTCCACTGGTTGGCTTAAGGTTATGGTTACGGATTAGTTTGTTAGATACTCTGTTGTTTGCAAATGGCATCTTTCTTAGTTTTCCGCAGTTTGCTAAGCTCCCCTGTGGAGCTCCTCAGTTTTTTAATAATTCACAAATGTTAAACTGAACTATTTGGAATTAATTGTGTTTGGTGGTGTCTTGCAGGAATGAGAGGGGTCTGCTTTCTTCTAAATATGTTTCTTGGTGCTCTCTTTTGAACTCAAGTTAGGATGTATACTAACACCTGGACTTGGCGCTTCCAAGGGGGTAGGCGGTCCAGGAAGCATGTGCCATCTCACCCTTTTACTTGGTGTATGCTTTTCTATGGGTGCTGCTGTAGGGAGAAGAAGTGTAAAGCTTAGTATTTAACGGGTTTTTTTCTCAATATCTTTGAGATATTCGGCCTTGGAAATTATGAAAGAAAGAGGTGTACGTTCTGATGGCATTGCATACAAAATACTGAAAAGGAAACCATGGCCTGGTCAAGTGCTTAAATGATGGCCAAAATCAGCTGAGGTGATGATGGTTGCTGGGTTGAGGGTAATGACTGGTTTCCTTCTGAGACACTCCTTTTGCCCCATTTAGTTGGGTGCTTTGGCAGATGAGCTCATTGCAGGCTGGTTGCTCAAATGCCTCCTCTAAACCCCACACAAGAAAGACAAGGATAGGATAGAATAGGAAAGAAGTAAGTCAGGTTTCTAAATTAAAGTGTTTCTAAATTTAATTTAGAAACAGCTACAAATGGAGCTTGTTATCTTGAGGGGCACTTTTTGACAAATAAGTAAATCAGAGGTCACATGTAAAAATCTGATTAAACTAGATAGCATTTCTTTTAAAAGCTTTTGCAAACAGAACTTTCATAACATCTAGATTCTCAGTTAAAAATCATCACTGTTCATTTTCTTAAGAAAGAAATCAGTTCTTTTGCTTGAACTTATGATCTCTATTCTTTTTCACGGGGCACAGGAGTTTGATTATGATAGGTAAGTGGATAAAGCTCTTGCTGCACAAACCAAAAGTGTCATTATAGCACTGGTTTTACAACATTCTTTACATAGAAGAACTATATTGGCTCTGCCTAGAACATTTGCTTAAAAAAATAATTATAGGTGAAGCAGAAAGCCTGGTAATTGCAACTTGTATTCTCACCAGTGTTTGCTAGTTGGATTAAAAAGAGCATGGTGGACGTGGCGCTCTAATTGTTTTTTAATCACTGAATGCTAGCAAAGTTGTGCCAAATGCACAGGAGAAATGCCCTGTTCCATAACCCAAACAGATCTACTAGCCAGGCAGCCAGTTGGCAAGAAAGCTCAGACTTTGCTGGGTGCTATGAAAGCTCATTTCCCAGCTCACTGAATGGATGTTGGATGTTGTACAAAACCCGCCTGATGCTGATGGTGTAATTGCTGCCTTTTTTCAGGTTACCTATAAGAAGCAATTGAACTGCAATATAGATTAAAGTAGGGAAATAATAAGAAACTACAGAATATATAGGACATTTACAAAATACTAAACAATGCAAATAATGTTGTTTGGTAGAAGTGATTTAGAAAGCCACAAATATGGCATTGATTGGAGTAATAGGACAGAAACTGCAGAGAAACAGAAGCACCCAAGGAAAATATGAAAGAAACAGTCAGAGAGCCTAAGGCAGTCTTCCCATCTTGATCCTGAACAAATCCTGAGAGGCTGAATGCTGGCTGGAGAAAGACTTGGAAAAGTGATGAAATAATGTCCTAATTCCCTACTTTTGTTTTACAGCATCAAATGAGCTTGGGCTGCATGTTTCAAGAAGCAGTTATGTTTCCTGGCATTGCTAATGTGGAAACAAAGAAATGACAAGGATTGTGTGAAGGTAAGAGATTGTGGGATGAAAAATGATTTTGTCAACACAGACGCCTGAAAGGGACTGTCTAATCCTTCTGCCTGCACGGAAGCAGAATCTAGTGTAGTTGCACTACTACAATTTTTATTCTTAAAGACCCTCTCTACAAACTACCTAAGGAGTCTGCTTTGGTGTTATCCTGCCCTTTTAATCAGAATAACAATTACTTCATGTCCAACCAGCAAATGTACCTTCTGTAAGAAATATTGGAGTGTAATGTCACTGTGGAGTAAAATTTATCTGTCATCTTTGGAATTTATGTATTCAGTTGTTAAAAACAGTGTGCCTCCTCAGAAGAGTGCTTTATAAACTTGAATAAATCAGTAATAAATATTAATAGGAAATGTCAAGAACTCTGAGTTCACCCAGAAATATATGCTATATGATGCTGTGGATGTAAATTCATTCTGATAGTTTTAGTCATGCCAGCCTTTAGAGGCACAGCTCACAGCTTTTACTCTTGACCAGTAGGACTGAGCAGAGATGGAATTCCAAAAACAAAGCAAAGAACATGGCGCCCCTAAAAGACTAATTTCTCTTCATGTCCATTGCACAAACATCCTTTCTGGCCTGAGACACTCCATTTATTCTCTCTATTCTTTGAAAACTCAATATTATAGCTAAATATTTATTAAACCCACATTTTTATCATCAGGAACAGGTGTGTTTTTGTTGAACACACCTGAAGCACTGAGTATTTTTGTTCCTTGTAATATTTTTGTTTACAGTCCATAATGTCATAAGTAAAAGATTCCTTCTGCCTACTGCTGCCATGGGACATATTTTCCCTACTATTGCAGGATAAATTAAAAAAAAAAAAAAAAGAATTAGTGCTTAGATTTTCTTGACAGTGATAGCCCCTTAGCTGCTAAGTCTGCTATCCCATCCATCACTAATCTCAAGCAAAGCAAGCATTAGTTTCTCTGTGACTTATCTAGGTCTTCAGTAGATCAATAGCACAGCTCAGATGTTTCAGACTCTTCCCTGTTAATTCACATTTATCTTTTCATCCAAAGACGGTAAATTACCTCACAGAGAAGCTGTGTTATCCCCAATAGCAGTTTACAATGTTGCAAAGTCAGCATGACCCACATATCTTATCTCAGCTGAAACGCATTTGTCACTGTCTTGTGTTATGATCATCTGGTAAAATGCCCTAGAAAAGAAGTAAACCTGCAAAATGGCTCCAGCATTTTCATTTAATGACCTTTTCTGCTGTGTGCTTCTGCATCACCTTCAATTTAAACTGCTAAAATAAAGGGAACTTTATTTTTCCCTTTAATGCTCCATTTCATGTTTTTTGTCACTAGCAAAATTTTCATTTCTCAGCAGTCTTCATTTCTGCTGTCATGAGGTGATCAGCAGGTGGTGATACTGAGACTGAGAATGGAATAATTTATTAATATGCTATGTTAACCCTGAGAAAGGACTGCTGAGTTTAACTCTACATTCATACAGTGGACTGCTGGTTACCTGAAGCTTTTCAGGCCCCAGGAGTGTTTAATGCTGTTGGGGAAAAAAGAAATGAGAAGCAGGTCACTGACCAGTAAGCTGTAACCAGGCTGCTGCAAGAAGAAATGTGGTAGGAAACAAAAGGTTGGTAGCAATTACGCAGCTGGGACTCATTCCTTTCCAAACTATAGTAAAGTAGATCTTTCATTCTGAAAACCTCCAAAATCATATTATGGAAAGAAAACTTAAATAGAAACACACTTGACTTTTAAGGAGTGGGATCCATCTGGTTGCAAAAACAGTACATTTTTATTCTGTTCCTTCAGATGAGCTGAGCAGCTCTGCCTGGACTGAACTCTTGTTCTGCAAGTGTTAAATTCTTACATCTTTAGCTGAGAAATTAGTTGGTGCCATCAAGGAGATCTGCTTTTTGACAAGAGGGAAAAGGTAGGTCTGTTTTCAACACCGTGCTGGGTTCTTCCCAAGTAAGAACACATGAGGGAGGCCCCTACATGGAGCAACGACTTGCTGCGACCACACAGCTGGGAGGAGAAGCAAAAGCAGATGCTTCCCCCCCAAGTGGAGGTGGATCATCCAGCGAAGATGACCTTGGTGCAGAGAACAGGATGTGCTAGGAGGGCACAGGACAGAAACACTTGCCCAGGTGCGGGTGCACTACCCACACACCTGCACCCCAGCAAGCTGCTGGGTGATCCAAACAGGGAGGTGCAGTCAGTGCCCCGCGGGGAGCGAGCAGCAGCCCCAGTTGCTGTGGAGAGGGCACCAAGGAGACTAAGCCTGGCTCGTTGCTGAGAAGCACAATGGGAGTCTGAGAGGCAAATGGTCACAAACTGAGAAAGGGGAAGTTCTGGCTGGATGTAAGGCAGGGGGAAGTTAAGATGACCAAGCTTAGGACAGGAGCCTGCTGCTCTTGGGGGAGCTCTCAAGAGATGAGACGAGTTCAGTATTTGAATTGGGGGAAACGATTGTTTTCCACTTTAAGTATTCAATTTTATGAAAGGAGCGGGGCAAGGGTATATTGGGTGTTTCTGTGGCGTTTCTGGAGTATTTTCTCCTCTGTTCTCTGTGTGAGGCGACTGTACACGCTGAGAAGTTACTTACCTTTCTGTGGAAATCCGCGCACAGTACGGTTACTGAGCTGTCCCTTTGGCTTAGTTTACATTGGAGAAAACTATCAGGGCCCTAAAGGTAGGGGTTCCTGAGCATAAACTGCCATAAGTTATCCAGATAAAAGAATTCTGTGGTTGCATTTTTTTCTTCTTTGTGTTTTAAACACAGTGCAGCAAATCTGAAATACATGGGAAGTAAAAGAACAATGAGGCACCGAGGACTGGAAACCTCAAAGTATTTTCGCTTTGGGATCTTACTGGATGCTAGTGCTGTGTTCTGCCCCTTCTGTGAAAGACACGCTGCTCACAAATACTGTTCACATGCAAATACAAGCCACCTCTTCATTTTAAAAAGAACTTTGCCAACTGATTTGTTGATCTCTGATACGTGTGTGTGTTTTAAAGCATTTTTACTCCCACTTTTCTGTCTGAATGCCTTGCTGTCCTGCAGACTGAATCAAGGTATACTTACGTTCTCATTTTAGAGTGGTGCTGTTCCAAATTAAGGACATCATGGGAGCAAAGACGAAATTTTACATCTGCAGGTTACTTGCTGTTATTTCCAGAAGTGAGGTGAGGGCACCTGATTTTGTTACTTTGTTTGGTAAGAAAGAAAATTGCATTTACTTCCAGTGAGGCGTACAGCCCTTTACTGAGGAGAGGGGACAGAAAAGTATCTTTTACACCTTCATCCCCCTCCTGCCCCCACCATTTCCAAACATTGAGGAGCGGAAGTCAGTGCTGTGCCAGTGTGGTTAAAAGCTTCCTTCTTTCTAAGTCAACACCTGGGAATCGTTGAGGGGTAGAGTTTTTGACATTTACTTGTTTCCTTGTCTATTGTTGAAGAAAACGGATTTTTTTTAATTTTTTTTTTTTTTTCTGAGCTGTAGCGGTAACACCATTTGGAGACAAGTAGAGAAAGTTTATGATCATCTTCTGTCTTGTCTCTCTCTGCTTGTATCAATTCAGTTAAAGACACAGTCTCCTCTTGTTGACTTTTTCGCCCCAAGCATTGTGGGAAAACATTTTTCTCATGGAAAGGGCAAAGAATAACCAAAGCTTGAGAAAGAATTCCACTAATTTGGGAGATTCTGTAAAAGATTGGGAACTGATTAAAATAATGAGTGTTCTCATCCCATAAATGTATAGACACGTGTCTAGCACCGAATCAAGAGAAACATGCAGACTTCTTTTTACCTAATTCTGCGAGGTGTTCTTAAGCTTTATTCATTTTAATTAATTTTATAAAGTAGGTGACATTCATGAGTTTGGAATACTGCTTTGAGTAAGTTTAAATGTGTTTAGTTTCACCTAACTATGTAGAAAGGAAAATAAAGGTGAGAAAAGCGGTAAAAGTGGGTGGGTAGAGTTTATGGGATGGGATGCCACAACGTTGATTTCCTTCCTGGAGCAAAGCCAGTCTGGAGAAACTCCGGAGTGAACAGTTGTGCTCTGTGTCAGATCTGTCTCTCTGGAAAAATTATGTGCTGGGTTTTCCTTTTGCCTGTCAGGCTTAACTGAAGCATACTATATACCAAGCAACCTCACCAGAATCGGGTAGAATTGTATTATTTCGGTGATGTTTGTGGTTAATGTTCTGGCTCTTGATTTCTCCCCTGTGACTGTACCCCCCATACCTGTTTGGGATCCATCATAACAGCTATGAAGGAGAGAAATTCTTAATTAAATGCTGCCACCTAGGTTTTGTGATTAGAGGTGAGTAAAGTGCATTAACATAAAGTAGCAATGTTCCTGAATGGATTTTTTTTTTTTTTTTAAAGACACTTTGGTAGTTATGTTTCTTCCACCTCCCTGTGCTCAACTTGTATCGATTCCTGCTTCCCCAGTGCACGGGAGGTTGGATGGATGCGCTGTGACCTGGCTCGGGCTGCTCCCTTCTGGGCAGTTGTGCTTACCCACTTCTGTAACGTGCGTGAACGCATGAAAATCTGCCCCGGCGCTCAAGAGAGACGGACGCCAGCCCCCTCCCTGCTCAGCCCTCCCCAGCGCCCG